ATAAAAAGTGATATGGAAAAGAAATTCTCCACTATATCTCAAGAGCCAAACGACAAAAAAATCTTCAGTTACCTCAATGTCACTTGTTAAAAAAAGCATCCCTGAGTCAACCTTTCTAAGCCATGTTAAATAAGTGGGGGAAAAAACATAATAAAGTCTTATTTTATATGTTTCTCAGCCAGTTTATTCAATTAACCCACATATGCAGAGAGTCCATGGGACATAATGACACTTAAAAGGAAAAGTCCAAAAGAAGAGAAAAATATTCTTTGACCTCAAGGCATTCACTAGTCAGTGCCAGAAAAAGAGCAAATTCAATACAGTACAGGTAATCCACCACGGGGAATTTAATACTTAAAGAAATCATAGTTTAGGAAATTGTGTTAATGGTTTTCTGAAAAGTATGAGACTTTCTGAGCAATAGGAAGTAAATAAAGGTAGGGGAAAATATAAGAGGAGAATCCAATCCAAGGATACTGATAAGAAATAAAAACAAAAACAAAAACAGGGAAGGTAGTTTAGAGAAACACAAGCTTGAAGCAGAGGCATATATGGAGAGAACTACGCTGTAGCTATCAGAGAACAGAGATGGAGACATGACAGCAGATAAGAGCTGCAGACAGCTGTAAAAGAAGGCCCAATTGGAGACTGAGTCACAAGGTTAGGGGATAGCAATAGACATTATCTAAAGGGGATGTTTACTAAAATTACCGACAACTTATTTCATGAATAGGAGGGATTTATTACTTACCCGATTTATATGATGGTTCCCTAAAATAACCTGTAGTAGGGTTTTCTCAAATTCTTCCAACTTCTTGGAACAGTTTTTAAGAATATGATTAGATAAGTTATAATCACTGATCAGTCTAGCTAAAGTACCAACAGCTTCTGTCCAAAAGCTTGAAAAAGGAAGTGTGGGATTTTGGTAAAAAGTGATCAGGCCATCAAGCAACCGAAGAACAGAATCAGAGACTGTAGACAAGTCTTTTTCAAAGTGGGTTAAGTCTGTTTTCAGATCACCTGATTCTGTCAAGTTCTTCAGTTCAAACAGATGTTGAAAGAATTGCATGTGAGAAGACAGAGGATTTTCCACGACAGCACAAGGTCTTTTCACAAGAGGCAGTGGTGGAAAGAGTGTGGGGGTGCAGCTCTCCACAGAATGCTGGGACAGCTCTGAAGGTTCAGTTCTCTCCTCATTTAACAGATCACACCCAGAATCTTCCATCGGAGTTAATGTATTTTCAGAACCTTCAGGTTCCTGAGCCTGCAACTGCAAAGATACATTTCCTGAAACAGAAAAGAATAGAAGGGTTATATTCCTGTAGCTAAAATTTACTTATATAAAAACTAGACATTGATTTTTCTAACTTAAATACTAAATGTGTCTAAATATGTATTAAACATTTAACAAGCACTAGTGTAAAAACTGAGTAGAAGAGAAACTGTGAAGGAAATTGCTTTGGCTGACTATAGAAAAGATCTTAATCTTTACAGGTAGAAAGCGATGGTTATTCACCCGCATATTTTCAGTTCCCCATCTCTCATTCAACTATGGGTCATGCTTGAAAGATACACAGCCGTAAGACCTGAAGAAGTTCATAGTCAGTTACAGATTCCAACAAAGCAATAAGGTGTATCCAGAAATAGAGATTTTCTTAGGGAACTATGAAAATAGAAGGATCAATGAACAATCCAGACGGGTCAGTGTATGCTGGAATAGGTGATACTGCAACTTCTTATAAAGCATAAGGAATTCAAAGTTAAAGTTAGTGGAATGGAAAAAGGCCAGAGAATTCCATCCACCAAAGGAATAAGTGCAAAAGCACAGACATAACAAGGAAAATAATAGCATTGCATACGTGAGGACCTACAAGCAGTTTCATGTTGCTTTCACAGAAAGTATATGGCAAGAGATTAAGATGGAGAAATATGTAGAGGTCAGATCATAAAAGATCTTATAATAAATATTAAGAACCTTAGAATTTGTCCTGTAGGATGTAGAGTGAATTTCCAACTTGAATAATGTAAGACAGCTTTGGAAAAATTACCACACACACACACACACACACACACACACACACACACACACAAATACCTGATATACAAATATAAATACAGAGAGATACTATCTATAACTATTATCTCTATATGTATGTATGTGAGATATATATATATATATATATATATATATATATATATATATATACACATAGAGAGAGAGAGACTGAGAAATAATACATTTAAAGCTAAACTTAGTAACTTTAGGTCATTCCTTCACAGATATGCCATCATGAACACAAACAAGGTGGTGGTTGTTTTTAAAATTATTATCAGTAAAATGTACAAACCAAATTGAAAAATTCTCATTGAACATTCTAAAGCACATACGTATATCTTTGAAACCTAGCATGAGAAATTCTGTGAGCAGAATGAGGTGCTAAAAGGTGTACTGCAGGCAAGTGAAACGGTCTTATTTTCACTTGATAGATCACTCTGTTGGCTACAGAAAGGGCATATATGAGAAGAACATAATGACACACTGAGAGATCAATGAAAAGTCACCTCTATTAGTCCTAATATCAAGTAATGAGAGAAATGAACCACACAGCTGCAGTGAAGGGGGAAGGAAGTGATTGACCAGGGAAATAAGTACAAAATATCAAAAAAAAATCTGAAAGCCAGTTTGACTAGTTATGGCCAATGAGGTAAAAGTAGGAATAGATACCCCTCATGGTATTTACTTAGGTGACTGAGTAGACAGTGCTAACAGCTGAAATGGTAAATATACAAAGAGAAGAACTGTCTTAGGAGAATCATATGAAGTAGTTCAGGTTTGGTCATGTAAATTCTAAAGCAACCAGAGAAAATTCTAGGCAGAGATGTTCACCTAGAAATTGGCCACATGAGCCTAAAAGTGGGGAAAAGGTCTAAACTGAAAATACATTTTAGTAGTGTGTAGGTAGTATATGAAACTACGAAAATGGTTATGATCACTCAGGGAGAGTATGGGCAGTGAGTAAAACAGAGGATCAAAGACAGACCCTGAGTAGTATCAATATTTGAGGACTGGTGGAGAAAGAACAGTCATTAAGGAGACAGAAAAGGAACAATTAAAGAAGCATAAAAAGAATAAAAATGATTATGTAATGAAAGTCAAGAAAACAGTTTCAAGAAGAATTACATGCAGTAGTGAAGTCCAATCACATAAAGGGCTGAAAAAAAAAAAATCTGTTGGAATTACTAAGTAGCAAATCACCAGTGGTCTTATCTATAGCAGCATTATCCACAGCAGCTTTGGTCAGTCACTCAGGGTGGCAGACAGCAGAGTGAATGGACTGAAGACTGAATGGGAAGAAAGTAAAGAATGGCCAGCTCTTCTGAGGACTTGGATTAGTGGAGTATAAAACAGGTAGTAACTGCAGAAAATGTGGCATGGCAGTTTGGAAGAAATTGAGCAGTCATAGACAAAGAAGAAAGAAGCAATGGAGAAGCAGAGGTTGAAAATATGAATGAAAATAGAATGGCAGGTGGGAGATGGCCCTAGAGAAAGAAGGAGACTCAGCCAAGGACCCTAGTGGGTAGGTTGGGCCCAGTAATATGGATGTAAACTTTCTCCTCTGAGGCTAAAGAAAAGAGGAAGAGAATGTATAAGGATGTAAAAATCTACTACTGGAACATAGGAACTTCAAGGAGATCTTACCTTGACAGTAAGTATTTTCTTGAAGTTGGATACAGGGGGCCACTCGTTGGATAGAACATAAGAATGGTGAAAGTGACATCTTCTGCCCTCTCCACTATATCACTTGTAAATCTATCTAATTTGTTGCTCCTTTGTCCTTCGGTAAAATTAGAAGCTGATGAGGTAAAATCAGAGGATGGAGCTTTAATTTAGAGTTCATAAATAAGTGCCCACTACAGTACCACTACAAATCTGTGGATATGTGCTTGCTATGATCACTACAATATCTGTATTCCAAGCTTAGGGAGATAATGCAAAAAGTTCAAAAATGTGGTGGTACCCAGAACAATAGCCTATCAGTGAAGCATTTAACAGCCAGAGAGCTTAATCATTTTAAACAGTTTGTTGTTGTTGTTGTTGTTTTTTATGAGCAAGGATAAGGATTTGAAATGATTTCTTCTAAAGACACCCATCATTCTTCACAAAAAATAAAGGGAGAGAGGGACTACAGTAATCATTTTTTAATCAAATAATATTTTTTAAACAAATTACACTTTTCTTTCATGGAAGTCAAAAGGTTCTCCACAAAGAAAGTGAACAATTTCTTTAACTCACTCAAATCTCCATCAAAGTAAGCTGAACTTCATGGGTGATGATTTCAAGAAAGACTCATAATATGAATTCTATTAATAGACTTGAAGGCAAACAGCTGATTTCTGGTTTCTGCTTTTCACTTCTTACCAGTGTGCCTTTTGGCAAGTTAGAACTGCTCCATCTCATCTCCTTCACGCATTTGAAGGGAATAGTTCTACATGTGAGTGTGCTATGGGGACAAGAATACACAATACTGATCACCCTTCTTCCTGGCTGCTTTGTTTTTACACCCTCAGAAAAGTGTGATGAGGGCATGTTAGGGATACCAGTAAGGAAAAACACACAGAAAGGAATCTCCTCTCAGTGCCCTAAATGAATACATCAACTTCATAATAGAGGCCCATGGTAAGATTTTACACAATATGGCTTACAGTATTAAAGTCAAATTATCAAATTGAATAAAAGAATCTTATATTCATATTTACAAAGTAGCTTCATCGAATAATTCAACTGATGTTCACCACAACCCTGAAAGATATGTTGTTATGATTTCCAATTTAACAATAAGGAAATGCAGGCTCAACTTCATTAAAAGAGCTGAGAAAAGCCACACAATGAGCAAGTAAAAACAGTTCCTCAGTTACAAACCCAATCATCTTTGAACCACAGCAGAGAGGCTTATGTGCTTCCATACCAGCTTCT